AGGGAAGATGGATATCATGATTTGGCATCGCTCTTTCATGTAAATACCTATAATTTATCATAAAAGTTTTGACAGGATCTTTTCCAAATGGTAATGAGCTAGCCCTCTTGTTCTTTCAGGTAATTAGTCTTGGAGATAAAATAAAGTTCTCTTTATCTCCTTCAAAATCAAGTGATCGTTTATCAACCAATGTTCCTGGAGTTCCCCTCGATGATAGAAATCTGGTAAAGATAGGAGCATTTTTCCATTTCCAATTCTTTTTCTCCATGATAGTTATTTAATTTATATATTTATTTCAGATAATAAAAGCCCTCAATCTTTTTAGGAAAAAGACAGGGACTGACAACTACTTTTGGGTAACTTTTTTTATTTTCAGAGATAAATTTTAATGTTTTTCACATCTTAGTTGGAGAGTATCAGTTTGATTCTTTTCTCGACTAATTTCCATGGGCAGATTCATCTTGACAAGAAGGTGCCAACTGGGGCAGGACTTGGTGGTGGTAGTAGTAATGCAGCTACAGCTTTGTGGGCAGCAAATCAGTTTAGCGGCTGTGTTGCCGCTGAAACGGAACTCCAAGAATGGTCAGGCGAAATTGGTTCGGATATCCCATTCTTTTTCTCTCATGGAGCGGCCTACTGTACGGGTCGAGGTGAGGTATGTCTTTTACATGTCTGGCACTCACTCACAGTTTGACACCGTCTTTCATTTTTCTTATAGTGCATGTTTGGTTAAACTAAATACCTTTTTTGCAAGTCAAAGCTCGAAATTAATTCGGTTTGGAATTGATATGAAGTGATAAAGTATAAGAGTTTTTCGTGTTAATTGGTTCAGATTGTTGAAGACATTCCGAAGCCTCTACCTTTTGACGTTCCATTGGTTCTCATAAAGCCTCAAGAGGCATGTTCCACAGCTGAAGTGTACAAGGTAATAGATATTATAGTTAACAGATTATTTTAAGTTGATTTTAGAGTAAAATTATTTTGAAAATGAGTTTTGGTTTATCAGCGTCTTACCTTGGATCGAACGAGCAAGGTGGATCCTTTAACCCTGCTAGAGAAGATATCGAGAAGTGGAATATCTCAAGATGTTTGCATCAATGATCTAGGTATGAAAAATGCAAAACACCCTTTACATGAATGAATCTTTGTTACTACATCAGATAGATGGAGATGCTGTTTTTAGCTTCAATCTTTTTATTTTTTATTTTTTTAATTAATCGTACGTTTATCCATGTTGCAGAACCTCCTGCTTTTGAAGTACTTCCTTCACTAAAAAGATTAAAACAGCGCTTAATTGCCGCAGGCCGAGGACAGTATGATGCCGTTTTCATGTCTGGGAGGTACATTTCACTGCCATTTTTGGGTATCTGAAAATTCAGTTATGCTTTTTAAGTTAGTAGTCAAAACAATATATTAATAAGATTTTAGCTTAGTTTTCTTTTTTAGTATTGATGTATATTTTCTCTCTTCGAAATGTCTACTGTTGAGTTCTTTCATCTTATAGCTTAGCCCAAAAAAAAAAAA